GAGAGAGAGAGAGAGAGAGAGAGAGAGAGAGAGAGAGAGAGAGAGAGAGAGAGAGAGAGGCGTCATGCGTTGCATTAAAATGGAGGCGTGTTCGGTTAAGTGTCTCTATGACAAGACTTCAGAGACAAACATAAAGGAAAAAAGGAAATCAACTTCACCAAAAAGAAAAAGTACATACCAACGAAAGATATTTAAAACAATGGAGATGATTATAAGATTAAATTGACCACAAAAAAGGCAATAGATATTACCATGCAACTGATGCTATATTAAGAAACAGAGTGAAAAACCCTCATGAACCAGTCTTGTCTATATGAAGTCAGAATGTGGCCAATGGCGAGTCCACACAAAACACCTGGTACATAGGCTATAGCAACTGCAGTCCAGCTCAATACTTGTTCATTTTCTTCCTTTATTTCATCTATTTCTTCTCCTCCACCGCATGTTTTTGGAAGAGGAACACCGCATAGTCCAGGATTCTCTGCGAATGAAGAACTATTCTGGCTTTGAATCTGAGTGCCTTGTGGTATTGGACCTACGAGCATGTTGTTTGAGAAGTTCATCAACGCTAGAAACGAGAGTTTCCCAAGCTCCGGCGGTATATTACCGGACAACCTATTTTCGGACAGATCTAGTGATTGGAGATTGGTCAAATTTGATAGAGATGATGGAATAGGGCCTGCGAAAGCGTTGTTTGACATGTTGAGCACATTCAGTCCCTTTAGTAAACCAATGGATTGGGGAATATCTCCTTCCAGTCGGTTTCCAGAGACATCGATGGTTTTGTACATTCTGAAACCACTCCCAAGTAACTCCATCTCCGAACCTTTGATTGCTAGAACAACCGACTTATGATAGTTTGAAAAGCTAATTCCCATAAACCTTTCCTGCTTATTATCTGTAATAAATGCACCTGATGACATTGCACTCCAATTAGCAAAGTAATCCAATGGCATGACTCCAGTGAAGATATTTTTTGAAATGTCAAAGATTCGAAGCTTGGGGAAACTCAGAGAAACCCCTAGAGGATATATTGGCCCATGGAACTTGTTAGAACGAAGAACAAGAAATTGCAAATCAGACAACAACCTCAACCAAAAAGGAAAAGTGTCACTGAACATGTTGTCTTCAACGTTCAGAAATTCGAGGCGAGTGCAGTTGATTAAAGACCTGGGAAGCTCTCCTGATAACTGATTAAGACCAACATCAAGTGAAATCAAGCTCACACTAATAGATTCCTCTGGGAAAATACCAGAGAGGCTGTTATTCCGGAGATGCAAGAGTGAAAGTATTGTACTGAAATTCTTAAAACACCGAGGTATAGAGCCGCTGAAGTTGTTGTTGCTTAGAAGAAGTGTATCAAGAGAAACCAGTTCACAGATTGCCATTGGAATCTCTCCTGAAAACCGATTATCAGAGGCTGAAAGGAACCTCGTGGAATTTGGTAACAAAGGAAATGGATCTTCAAAAGTGTTTGAACTTATATCGAGCATCTCTAGTGGACTTCTTTGAATAACATCTTTTGGTCCATCAAAGCCACTTAAAGAATTCTTTGAAATGTCAACATATACCAGTCCTGGCAATCTCCATAACCAGTCTAATACTTTCCCTTTGATTTGATTGGCGGAAATATCCAGATAATACATACTGGTCTGCGTCTGAAGAAAGTTTGGAAAATCAGAAACGTTGCAGGAAGCTAGAGACAATGATCCTATGGGTGAAAGAAGATGGAGACTTGAACTGATCTTCAAATTATTCCCTGAAAGATCCAGCACAGCAAGTGAACTGAGCTTTGAGAAAATACTCAAGTCAAGCATACTTCTTGTATTCAGATAGGATAGGTCAAGTATTGCAAGTGACTTGAGATGTAAGAAGATGTTGAAATCGACAATGGCCCTCCCGGTGTTCCAAAGAGAGAGGTCGAGGTACGAAAGCCGTACTAGTTTCGATATAAATTCCGGGATTGGCCCATTCAAATTGTTCCCACCAAGGGCTAAAGTGTGAAGTTTAAATGGTGATGATATATTCCCAATAATCTCAAGAGGGCCGCTGAAGCTGTTTTTCTCCAGGTTAAGATGGACCAACGAAGGGATCATGAAAAGAGACGACGGAATAGATCCGGAAAATGAATTTGAACCAATATCAAAGTGCTCAAGTTTGGAGAGGTTACTCATGTTAGATGGGAGCTTACCTTCGAGATGATTAGAACGAAGGTCGAACCACGTAAGCTCACTCAAATTGAGTAGAGCATGATGAAAGTTTCCACTGAGCTTGCTCGTTGAAAGTAGCAGCTTCGTTAGTTTGTTTAGGTTGCCCATCGATTCTGGTAGTTCACCGGTGAAACCGTTACCTTCAAGATCAAGATGAGTGAGATGAGAAAGATTCCCGATCGAGGAAGGAATCTTTCCAAAGAAACTGCACCCATAAAGTTTCAAGACTCTCAAGTATTTGAGGTTGCCAATGGAATCCGGTAGAATACCCGCAAGATTATTGGAGCTAAGATTAAGGCTCTGAAGATGTTGTAGTTTAAACAGACCACTGTTAGATCTCAAAGAGCCGTTGAGAGAACTGCCCCAGAGATTTAAATCAACGACGTTCCCCGTCTTACGATCGCAAGAGATACCATCCCAGGAACAACAATCAGTGTTGTTTATCCACCTCTGTGTTTGCTCATTAGGAGCCATCCAACTGAAGTGAAACTCACTCTTGAACTCCCAAAGAGCATCCCTCTGGTCTGGACGACACAACTGCTTAGCAGGAGAAGAGAAAACAAGGGTTGAGTAAGAAAGTGAAAAGATTAAACACAAGCTCCATATTATCATCTTCCTCTCATTACGAGAATGCATTGTTTTCTTTCTTTCTTTAGCTTTTTTTTTTTTTTTTTTGCTGTGAAACAAGAGAAGAAAAACGAAAGCTTGACTTAAAAAAGTCTCCTATGAAGCCGTTTTTTAGATCCAAGTCTCCTGTGAAAATAATTGATCAATGGTCCACAAATTGATTTGACCTTACAGAGTACACAAAGCTACAAACACAGTTTTGTCCAGCCCGTGAGCGTAAATCGTTGAAAAATATGTTTTGTTTTTAAACTTAAACTAGATTTTAACCCGCTCAGTTGCGAGAGATTATTTATAATTTATTTATTTATTAAATTTTATGATTTAATGATATTTTATAAAATTTTGGTTTGCGTCTAGATTGCATATTTTTTTAAAAAAATTTGGTTTAGTTATGTGGGTTTTGATTTTCGGTTGAAGAAATATAGTAATAGGTAATTTCTTTATAAATTGGTTTGGTTTGCTTTGGGTTTTGTTATTTCAATTCTTTGTTCGGTTCAAATAACAATGTTAGAAACCCGATAAAATTTCGAGTTTAATTTGAGCTCGTGGGTCTTAATATGGATATGTATTTTTTCTATCTTTATTCTGATTTTGGTAGCTACATTTTCTGACTTTTACTTTTTTTTTTTGTTATTGAATGACTTTATATTTTAATTTAAAAAATTGGTATATCTCAACGATATATACGCAACTCTAAATATCTGTTAATTTCGTACTTTGTATAGACTGATGTCATTTTAAGAAAAAAAGTCTAAATGAGAATTTGATAGCTATTTTTGGTTAATAGATCATTATAGATTGGTGATTGTAAAGAAACTATATATATTTAAAACAAAAATATTAACAGATACTCTAAGAAAATAAATATAGTTTTAAAAGGTGATGTAAAGAAACTAAAATGAAGATGTAAATTGCTTTTTTTTTACAAATTTGTTTGCACCACTGTGGATTGAACTTTGTTTTCTAGTACTCAATCAATTATAAATACAGTCATAGAAAACACATGGATCAATCATAAATAATGTAGTCCGAACATTATTGATTTTTAGATTTTTAGTGTATATTGGTAGTTGTTGGAATTAATTATAAGGAAGTTAAATGAGTTTAGAATTTTGTTATCGATTTATGTGAAAGTTAAATGGGAAGTTAATATATTAAAATTATTATTATTAAAATTACTAAAATTATTATTATTATTATTATTATTATTATTATTATTATTATTATTATTATTATTATTATTATTATTATTATTACTATGTAATATCAGATGCACAAAGATTGTGGAGTCTTAATGATTAACTTCTTAAATTAATTGAATAAATTAGGGGTGGGCGTCCGGGTACCCATTTGGGTTCGGTTTTGGATACATTAGGATTTGATTTGGGTTTATTCCGGTTTTGGATTTTCGGGACTAAAGATTTCAGCCCCATCGGGTATTTATAAATTTTAGTTCAGGTTTGATTCAGAGCTTCACGGGTTCGGATCAGATAACCCATTTAAATTATTTTTTAAAAATTAACATTCATATATACTTTAACCTTTCTACGATATAAAAATAAAACAATATATAACATATAATTTTGAGTAGTGTATGCCAAAATATCTAAATTTAACATAAAACTGGTTAAGTTTGAATATTTTGATGGAAATTCAATAGATATTTTAATTATTTTTTGGCGTTTTGAGTATTGTTTAACTACGTTAGATATTTTTTTTTGTCTATCTGTATACATTTCAAATATTTTAGATATATTTTGAATATTAAATCTAAAAATAACCATTATATGCAACTATATAAATCTGATTTGGATATATTCGGCTACCCAAAATATTTTGGTTTGGATCGGATTCGGTTTGGTTCTCTAGATACCAAAATTGTGAATCCGTTCGGATATTTAATCAATTTTGGTACAGATTCGGTATTACTTTTTCATATCGGATTTGGTTCGGTTTTCTTTGGTTCAGATTTTTTTGTCCTGCCCTAGAATAAATTGTGAACAAATTTCTTAAACTATTTCCGAAAAGATGGAATGATATACAATAATATATTATCTAAAATGAATAAACATAAAAAATATTGGTAAAAGAAAATCCAACTTTGAAATACGGGTCAGAATTTACCATAAATTAAATATAAAATAATTTTCAAATATGTTTTCTCATGAATATATTGATTTTCTTAATAACTAAATGAAAATACAATAAGATAAATATATAATAAAAAGTGAAAAATAAATATAGTTTTAAATAATTGATTAATATAACATGTAAATTATAAAATTCGTTTATTTGAAATAGTTATATAAAAATTTAAGTATGTACCACTTATGTTCTATAGCAAATATTTATGTATATAAAAATATAAAAAAACACTCGTGCGGTTGCGCGGATCAAAATCTAGTTTTTATAATATAACAAAGATATCTTTTGGTTTAGAAATTTAAACAAATAATATCTTATTTATCCTCTTTTCATAGGTAGCAATCTCCAACTTCCCTGATGAGATTCCTGGAAAAGAAAGTTCTTCTCTTTGTTTTTTTTATTACAAATAGTTATACCATAAAAGAGAGCCATCAAAGATGAAATATAAAATTTTACTTTAAAAACGACAAACTACCAGGAACTTGAATTTAATCACAAGTAAGGAATCTATATTATAATAGTAGACTTTCTAAGCTCTACAACGCGCCACGTCAGCAGTTTTGTGGGTCCCGTAGGTATTTTTTAAAAGCTCATAGTCTTAGTAAGATGATTACAAACAATGAAATACACTTTAGCCAAGTGGTATAAGGTATCTAAGTAAACATGCAAGATCGTGGGTTCAAACCACACAGCTATCATGTATTTTTGATTTTTTTTATTTGGGTTATTATCATATGGGCTTTTTTATTTATAAGGTTTTTATGTTTTTTTTGGGCTTATTGTTTTAAAGATCAAATCCCTAAATCTTAACAAGTTCAAACCCAAAAGTAATTAAAAATCTATATTATAATAGTAGACTTTCTAAGCTCCACAACGCGCCATGTCAGCAGTTTTGTGGGTCCCGTATGTATTTTTTAAAAGCCCATAGTCTTGGTAAGATGATTACAAACAATGAAATACACTTTAGCCAAGTGGTATAAGGTATCTAAGTAAACATGCAAGATCGTGGGTCCAAACCACGCAGCTATCATGTATTTTTGATTTTTTTATTTGGGTTATTATCATATGGGTTTTTTTATTTATAAGGTTTTTATGCTTTTTTGGGCTTATTGTTTTAAAGATCAAATCCCTAAATCTTAACAAGTTCAAACCTAAAAGTAATTAAAAATGGATCAAAAAACAAACAATAATAAAAAAAAACAAGTCCCATGCGGTTGCCTACGCAGATGGGTTAAAGAGCCTTAAAACTATCCTATTATAATATAGCTCAAACCAAAAATAATAAAAAAGGGATCCAAAAACGAACAGTCAAAAACAAAAAAAGTGAGTCATACGCGGCTGTCTATGTGGATAGCTTAATGAGACTTGAATAATATAAATTAAGAGCTCAAAAAAGTTAAATCATTGCACATATTTCCTAAGATGTCTACGTGGATAGCTTAATGAGACTTGAATAATATATTTTAAGAGCTCAAAAAGTTAAATCATTGCACATATTTCCTAATATATATTTTCAAAAAATTTGTATGTGAGATAAAAAAACAATAAAAATTAACTATTTTCGTTATTTATTAAATGAATATGTAATTTCTCTTACATTATAATAACTACTATAATTTCATTGAAAACATTCCTCACCACCGATTCCAGACTCTGTCGAATGGATTCCCACAGTCAATGATGACGCCGTAGATAAAAATGCCACATCATTTATCAACAAAACTCAAACTTAAAAAAAACCATATATAAAAACCTATCTAATGAAACTTAAAAAACTGAATATTAACTTAATTAATGTTATTTTCAAATTGATAAATCGTTTAATACAAATATAAATACTATAAATATATAATTATATCAAGTTTTAATCTACGATATAAAAATTATTTACAACAAAAAAAACACACCTGCTTTTACACACTAAAAACTATATTATAGCCTAACTATTCCTATAAACCTTACTTCGCATATAAATAATATTTAATACATTCCTAATATATTTTCAAAACAATTATATGTGAAATAAAATAAAATAAACAACAAAATCTAAGTATTTTTCGTTATTTATTAAATGAATATGTAATTTCTCTTACATTTTAATAACTACTATAATTTCATTGAAAACATTTCTCACCACCGACTCCAAACTCCGGCGAATGGATTCTCACAGTCGATGACGCCGTAGATAAAAATGCCACATCTTTTATGAACAAAACCCAAACTTACAAAAAAACATATATAAAAACCTATCTAATGAAACATAAACAACAAATATTAACTGAATTAAGGTTATTTTCAAATTGATAAATCGTTTAATACAAATATAAATACTATAAATATAGAATTATATCAAGTTTTGACCTACGATATAAAAACATTCCTCACCACCGACTCCAAACTCCGGCGAATGGATTCTCATAGTCGATGACGCCGTAGATAAAAATGCCACATCTTTTATGAACAAAACCCAAACTTACAAAAAACATATATAAAAGCCTATCTAATGAAACTTAAACAACGAATATTAACTTAATTAAGGTTATTTTCAAATTGATAAATCGTTTAATATAAATATAAATACTATAAATATAGAATTATATCAAGTTTTGACCTACGATATAAAAACTATTTACAGCAAAAAAAAAAAAAATAGACACCTACTTTTACATACTAAAAACTATATTATAGCCTAACTATTCCTATAAACTTTACTTCGCATATAAATAATATTTAACACATTGTATATACAATATTTTCACTTTACACTCTTACTACATTCTTTTTATTTCATTATTATTTGGTGTCAATAGAAGAATCCACTAAACCAACAATCGAAAAAATACACGCAAACATAATGATCCCGG